GGAGGAGGGGGCGTTTCGAGACATCGTTTCTGGGGAGACGCGAGTTCGCGCGTCGCGACGCCACAAGGCGCGTGACAAACGACGACGCCCTCCTCCAAACACACTCCTCCACTCTCGAGTCCTGTCACCTGTCGAGCTCTGTCTTGGATCGCGCTTCGAAACGTCGGGGGAGCTTACGAGGGGAAGTGCAGGGGAAGCAATCGATCAAATTCTCCAGCAACAGGGACATTTTATTTTTTTCGGAGGGGCGAGGTCGGATGGTGATCGGTTTCGGGGAAAGTGATAGCTTTGGAAAAGTGATAGCTTTCGAAGTTTACCGGGGGGAAATCATCCTCTTTTTGTGCCATTTTTTTATCGTTTAGCTACGATGTATTAAATTTTCTTTCTTTCGCATTGCGTTATGTCTTAATTCGCCATCCTTTCGATTCGAAAAGATTTTCTTCTCGCACACAGGGTGAGATTTCGAAAATTCATAAGAAACCCTCTTACACTTTCCTGGAGAATTCTTCGCGACCGGCCACTGAATCACAGAAGATTTCCTCGAGATAAGCTCGTCTTCTGGGAGTCCTAAAGCACGGTTTCAAGAAGGTCTGCATTAACCACCGATAAACGGAACTCGAGGAAATATCAGCCCCGCAACATTTCCCGACATTCTAAGATAAAAGATTCCACGCACGCAGACAGCTGGGGGATTGCGTTCCAAGGACAATTAAGATCGCAGATACAGCGAGGAGGAGATCGTGGATCGGGGATCCTTACCCCTCCTCTCCTCTCTCTCCCTATCTTCTCCCCCTGGTGAAGTCGTTTATCTGTTAACACATGGTCAACCGTGGAATGGAAAGGAAAGAAGAATCTGCTCGTCCATTACGCTCGTCCACGCTCCGAATTCACTGTTTGGAAACCGATAAGGAACGTTTGCGCTGCTCTTGATCCACTTCTATTCCGGATAATCGAGACTCCTCGCCATCGGCTATAAAACTTCGTGACTTTCTCTCTCGAGGACAACCAATCCCCCCTCTCCCGTCGACTGTCATCTCGAAATTCCCAGACGTTCCTCCTCCCCCTCCACGAGCCTTTACTTATTTACCGAAAATATTTGCGAAATTTTATCGATATCGGGAAAATTCGAAGACCAAACAAAGAGCCATACTTTTAATCCCTTCTAGCTACGTTCCACCACAATCTTTATATCTCTTTGCAAACTTTTCTTCTTTCATTTTTACGGAATATATATATATATATAGAGAGAGAGAGAGAGGAAGAATTCTCACTCAGAGAATTGCCACTTAATGGAAAGTAAGAAGACACACGGAGGAAGGAAAAAGGGATTCGAAAATCTTCACGAAATCGTGCTCTCTTCGATCGTACTCCTCATCTACCTAGCCTTCTACCGTTTGTTCAATCGCCACCTCCTCGAGACACCGCCTCATCCCCCATCTCCCCCCTTCGACCCCAATCCTCCCCGTTATTTCAATTCTTTCCATTTTTCTCTTATTTCCTCGCCACCAGTGAATCAACGCCACCTCGATATCCGTCCAAGATGCCGGTCGATTACCTTCTCACCCTCCCTCGCTTAACCCCGATATTTCTCTTCCCCTCCTCTCCCCCATCTCCATGTTTCGATTAATGAATCTTATCAGCGGTTTCTGATTCGTTTCCCCTTCGCCGATTTTTAACCGAACCGATGAAAGGATATCGTTTCCTTTTTCTTGTTTCATCGCAAAGATAAAGATGGAACTTACTTACTTTCTCTCTTTTTCTTTCGACGAGGAAGAGACGAAATAAGAGATGATTCGACTCACCTGAAACAGAAGAGGAAAATATATGTATACAATGTAGAGGAGAGATTTGGGATAAATGTGAGGAAAGTTGTCGCAAAGTTGTCGTAGTTCTCGTTTCGGGAAAGGTAGTAGACACGTGTAATTTCAGTTTGCTCGCACCGATGGAAGACATTATTAAGACAACATTCTCACGAATATTGCGTTCGAGGACGGAACAGACTTGCCGGCATAGCTTCGTATTGCCTGGATGGCGAAATTCGTCTCTCGCGTTTACGTCTAAATGCGAATCCACGCGAAACGGGGACGCAAGAACTCGAGTTTGTCCTCCTCCCTCTCCGAGGTAACTCGAGTCCGATCTATTCCCATTCCCTTCTCCTTCTCTTTCGTTGCCGATTAAAATTATAAAAATTAAAAAGAACGTGTTTCGAGCAACAGATTTGTCCCATGACGTCGAAATTTCTGGACGAGAGTTCCATCTTGGCCGACAAGATACAATTTTTCTCATCAAACTAAGGAGCTTTGAAATTTTCCTCCGAAAACACGACCCATCTACCTTTACTTTAATCGAATCTTACTGAAAAAATTTATCCAATCGTGTTCTCCGAACGAAGATTCATCAACTTTATCGCTTTAATCTCTCTCTCTCTCAAAAAAAAAGACTATCTTCCTTATTTCGTACATTAGTTCTAGGTAGAGACACCGACCAATTTTCTTTTTTGTCTCGAAAGAACGAATTCCCCTTCTCGAGGGGGAAAGAAAAAAATCTCATCGATGCTCATTATCGAGCTACTCACAACAACAATACTCGAGGTACACTGGAAACGAGCACAGCCATCAGACCTTCCCCTCCTCCCAAAAAAACAAGGAGGCTGAACCCAAGTCACGTTGTCCGAAAGTGAGTACTCGTAGCGAGCGCCTCTCGAGCCATTACCCTTGGATGTATCTTCCTTCACGGGTGGAATCCGAATTCCACTCCCTCGTAACGTTTAACTTTAACCATGTGCGTTAGGATCGAAAGCTATTACCCTCGAGCGGAGGCAAAAAAGGAGGAAGAAGAGGAGGAGAGATGGGAAGGGACAGAGTCCCTGGTGGCGCGAAAAAAAAGAGCGAAGCGAGCGGAAAAAGCTCCATCAGCCTCTCCAGCCTCATCTCGTCTCGTCTCGTCTCGTCTCCCGGCCAGCGTCGTTCGAATCCCGTTTCGTTGTAAGCATAGAAGGAGCGCGCTCTTCCTCGAAACGCGCGCAAAACATCGCCGACAGCCACGTTTATTAAAGATACCAACGAGATTCCACCTGGCTGGCGATTCATAAGCGAAAGAGTATGCGGCAAGGAATTCGGGTCGAGACGCGGGTTGACGCGCGAGTGGGAAACGTCGTCGGATGCTTTATGGCTGTTAATTCTCGGCCGCTGAAAGGCAACAAGGCGGTGGAGAAAATAGCAAGTTCGGTGGGTATGGACGTTGATCTTCGTTTCGGCGGAAGGGAGGAAGGGAGGGAGGAAGGAGAGGGCAGAGTCTGACAGGATTTCGCCCGGGAGGGAAAATGGCGCGAGTTGGCCGCGGCTACTCCCAGCCAACCCCGGAAAAACTGACACTCCGCGAGGGTAGTAAATTCTCATTTGTCCCCGGGAACCGTCTCGTTGCCTCTGATGGAATTTACCTTATTCTCTACCTAAGTTGGATTCTCGGGGATGACTCCACCACCATTTATACGCTCCCTTCTTTTTCTTTTTCTTCTTTTTTTTTTTTTAAATGTATTAAAGGAAAGGAAAAATCTTTGTCCGCGTTAAATAGGGGAAGAAACTATTTTCGGATCATTGACGAATAGGGGTAGGATGACGGAGAGAGTGAGATGTGATCGTCAAGTTGAACGTCCCCCGATGCAAATCGAGCCTCGAGCGGTGCCACGATGGCTTCTCCGGTTCTGATCTCCATCTTTCATCCATTATCTGTCATCCGTCATCCTGGATGCTCGGTGAACAGCTCGCTCGCGACGATGGAGCTGTTTTTCGAACGTTCCAGGGAGAAAAATGGAGCTAGGCAGGGCCTCTTATAGCTGGCTCACCGAGCCACGTTCAGCTTCCGCACGAGCGGAAGTTCAATGAAACGGCGGAAAGGATGGATCTATCTACGATCTTCTCGTTTAATCCCTTCGATAAACGTTCGTTACAATCCTCAAAATTACATAGAATTAATAATATATACGTGTATATATATATATTTTTCTTAACCAGAAGAAGAGTAATAGTTGTATTTATTGCAATTTCTCTAGAATGTCCCTGTTCCTTCGGATACACCTAACTTGAATATCGATATCAGATTAAAAATATATCTATCCCTATACTTTCTGATCAGAGTTTCATCCAAGTCGAGGGAAAGTTTCGCGATCTATGATCCAGCGGAGTGTAACGCGAGGCTGAATAATAATTGGTTAATCGCCCGTAACCATCGCCAAACTTTCCTAATAGCCTAAAAGTACGAAATTCTCCGCTTCAGAAGTGGCCGCTTCTGGAAAAATCCTCCTCTACCATCACGCGCTTTCCGATATTCCCAAGCCTCGATGAAATACGATAATTTCTCTAACGAATTTTACTCGAATCGAGGCATCTAACGCTTCCCGATTCCGGGTTAAACCGAAATTATAGTCGGAGAGAATGCCCTCTTTGCTTTTCGACTCTCTCCGCCCGAGTTCCTTGGCGAGGAACGGGGAAATAAGAGGAACAGAGGAGACGGGGTGAAAAAAGGGGGTGAAAGTTGGTAATTCCTGGTTCGGCAAGAGTTAGCGGGAAACCGGAGAGCTTCCAATTAACCCCACGGAACTGTTGCCGGTCGCCAAAGAATCGGCTGGATCTTGGCCTAGACATTTCGATTAGATCGCGAATACTCTTCGAACTTTGGTAAATTTTAAACGCTATACCCTCTATAACTCGATGCTTGGTGCAAGACGTTGAAGCAGTTTGGATTTAAAAAAACTGCTCTTCGATGATCCACTTTTTTTTGTTAATCAAACTTCCTACGTTCACGAAGAAGGAAGAAAAAAGAAACGAAGAAAAATTAAACGACTCGTCTCAAAATTTTAAATAAACACTCCGTTAAGAGAATCCAGTTAAGGAAAATTTACAAATTATCATCCAATTTCGAAATTCTCAAATTTCTTACACTTCTGCATAAAAGAATACGCGAAAGAGAGGACGAGAATCCGAGTTCAAGCCCAGGAAAGGGCTCATTTTGCCGGATGACGGCGTCTAGGCCAGGAGGACGCCGTAAATAATTAAGAAAGGACATTATCACGAGCTACTGGAAAGCGAGATTCTCGGCCGGCATGCGAATTTATCATTCGTCCTCCTCCCTCCCCCCTCTCCCTCTTTCTGGAACCGGCCATATTTCACTCCGCTGCCCGGAATCTTTTGTCTTCATAATATTTATCCCACCGCGGACACCAAGAGTAATGGAGCGTGGATCCCTCCCCCTTCCATCCGTGAGGGAGGTGAACGAAGCGGCCAAGGGATGGAGCAGGGTTAAAGCGGACGGTTCAAGGCCGGTCGAGCTTAAGGCGAACACGCACGACGAAAGAGGATATGAATTGGAGAGGTGGGAATACGAATCGAATCGAACGGACGAGTCGAGAGAAATCGATGGGGAAGGGAAAGTTAAAGGGCTTAATGCCGACAAACCATGTCGCTTCTGTTCTTCTTCTTCGACAACTTCTTCGTCGCTTTTCTCCGCGTTTGATGCAATTCACATCCCTCCCTTCCCTTGGCAAATTCTCTTTCGCCGTGGATCGGTCCGATTTACGAGCAACAACACGGGGGTAGTTCACGATGATCGAGGAACAAGTTTTAGGAAGGGGACGTTTGTCGAATCGGGGATGATATATGGAAGAGGAAAGTTTGACGAGAATAATTGGGAGGGAGGGAAGTGCGTTCTTGTTTTTTTAACGTAACGAGGATTTGATAGCAACCCTCAAGAGGCTGTTGAAATTCGTGGATGGATGTATCTCTATTTCTTGGAGAATTCGTAGAGAATCTATAGATCTATAGATTTACACGATTACGAATGGATTATTCTTCTCTTCACTTGCTTTTTCCTCATTTTTTCGGGAGAAGGAGGAGAAAATTTCTTGTTCTTCCTTTCTTTAAACAATCGTTCGTGCAAAGCTCCCTTAATCAAACGTGGAACGAAACTTTTGATGTGTCGTGGATGGGACACGTTTCGGGGTGAAATCGAGGGATACGGATGCTCCAGTTTCCTCCTCCTCTTCTTCCCTTGTCCCAGTTGAATAAAGATAAACTTTGAGTGGAAGAAAAAGTTTGGGTGAAATAAGGATCCAAAAATTTCTTTGGATCCGTGACGAACGGGGTAAATGAGAACGGGAAGGAAGAAAAGCGGCG